ACCCATTCTTCCTCACTCTCTTTCTTTCTCCAACTCGTATGAATGTGTGTGTGTGTGTGTGTGTGTGTTAGATATTATTTTTATGTGTTAGTCATAGGCTTATAATCAATAAAGTATTGTTTGTATTTGAAAAGAGAAGCATTACTGGTGTTATGTGCTTACGAATTTATTGTCTTGAACTGCGATCTAAGCTACTATGCTTTTACCCTTGAATTATTTCTTAAATTAGCTGTTAGCTGGGAATTAGTCTTTCTTGGCCAGGAAGATATTATATTTCCTAGAATTAATAATTAGGGCCCAAGCCCTGAAAGGGCGAAGGCCCTATTGTTTTCCTTAGGATTATTTATTAGGGCCCAAGCCTTGAAAAGGCGAAGGCCCTATTGTTTTCCTAAGGATTATTATTATTATTAGGGCCCAAGCCCTAAAAGGGCGCAGAGCCCTATTGTTCTTCTAAGGATTATTAGGGCCCAAGCCCTGAAAGGGCGCAGAGCCCTATTGTTCTTCTTAGGATTATTTGCTATTCTTTATTATTATTATTTTTTAACATTTTGGGCACTTTTGGGGCCCTTAACGTGCTCGAAAACTCTTGAAACTTTGCACACGGGTCAGAACCCGCGGCCATCAGGGCCGGGCTGAAGCTGGTACCCGGGCGTGGCAGGGGGGCTCGACAGCGCCCCCTGGAATGGGGTTTGAACACTTGTCCATATATCAAACACGCTTGCATGTAATAATCTGAAACTCAGTACACTTATAGATGTCATCGGGCTGAACAACTTTCGCCCTCTAAGTTTTACGCCAGCCCAACAGGAAGTCGGCTATTTAGGGTTGTTTGGAAACGCATGCTCAGGAATTTGAAACACTTCTCCTAGCGATCATCGCCAAACTCGGTGTGCATGAAGTCAAGACATTGAGGATGAAAAATTGCCAGGGGATTTTTGATATCTCGAACGGTTTGGTCGTGGTGAGAAAACGAATTTATGGCGAATAATGGAAACAGGAAGTGTGTTATAACTTCTGCATACATTAACTGATCTTGATGAAACTTCAGCAGTGTATTCGCTGTAAGAGGCCGATCACATGGATGTGACTATTGTGAGTCAAAGTTATAGCGCCACCAACTGGCAGCAGGAAGTGTGTCACTTTCAAAATGCTTTGAAATCACCCTCTTATTTTTACCCAATTTGCTTCAAACTTAATCTGTATAATGTAAACACACGCCAGATGTAGACCTGTGAGAAGATTATTTAATATCTAAGAGAATGTTGCCATGGCAACGCATCAAACTTTAATATTCTTTTTTGATGCTTGAGACTCTTAGCATGCCTGAAATTGCTTGAAATTGCATGAAACTCGACAGACACATCTCATTTATTAGCCAGTAGACGTGCAAAGTTTCAGAAACGGGCGTGTTGAGGGCTCAGTAGCGCCACCTTTTGTCAAAAGTGGGGGGATTAATTTTATCTACAGTAATAAAAATCGGTATGTGTAGTGTTCTCCTCGAGCCAGACAACTTTCTAATTTACACTCAATAGCTCCAACCAACAGGAAGTCAGATATTTTGGTTTGAAAATTGTCATTTTATGTCTCTCTCTCTCTCTGAGCCTACGTCTCTGTGTGTGTGTGTCTGTGAGTGTGGGGACGGGGAGGGGAAGGGGAAGGGGAAGGGGGGATAGATTAACCATTTGACTGCTGTGTGGTTTGGCCTGCATTAAAAAAGAAAATAAATGTCCTACGCCTAGTATTTTTTAAATAAGTTGTATTAATAAGTAAAGGCATATAACCAGTTGAATTGTAGTGCATTGAAAATCGTTTTATATAATTAGTTTATTAATTAAATTAACTTGGTCCATAAACTTGGTCAGAAAATTTGGTCCATAAATCAAACATACTTGCATGTAATATTATGAAACTCGGTAGACATATAGATCTCATCGGGCCAAACAACTTTAAGCCAGCCCAACAGGAAGTGGGCTATTTTGGTCTTAATGTGGATGTTTTGCAAAACCAGGCTCTACATTTTTACCCACTCCTCTTAAGTGGTTTATTTTATTCCCACCAAACTTTTTCAACATGATGAAAATACATTAAAGCATAATTGTGAATATCTATTGAATATCTCTAATTGTTTTGCTATGGCGAGGGATTAAAGTCATGTAAAAAAAAAACACTAAAAGCCTCATATCTTCTAAAAATTTAATTACACACCATTTATTTCTAGATAAAATTATACAAATAACAGAACTAAACCCATTTTATTCTTGTTTTCAATTTAAGAATAATGTACAAGTTTAAAAACAGCCAGGATGCACTATTCAGTTAAAAAATAAATATATCAAATAATACATAGGGCTATACTGCCCTCTTGTGTTCAAAATCAGGTAGGCCTGTTGTATTTAAATATAGGTAGCTGCTATGTGACTCCGAGAATTTTTTCTCACCGGTTATTGACCGCTGGGGGCTTTAATATCGCTAAGTTAAAAGTGAAAGTAAAGTAAGGACATTTATAGTGGTGGCGCTCGCAGTGCGCTCGAATGAATTTCTATGGAAGTAGAAATGAAAAAACGTTTGCTCTGTTTTGCTCGTTCGTCGCCATGGACGCGCACCGTAATGAATGCCACTGCAGCCGCATACTTTTTAGTGTCACTTTAAAATTAGTGCAATATCGGGGGCCAATTGCTTAAATTGTGAGTTCAATAGTCTATTATTTTTCACGGAAAACACAACAACAAAAGAGTACAATGACAGATTCGCTTAAATAGGCGCATTTACATAAAATAGCCTATTCCGTCATCATCTTTTCAGTCAGCTCTTCACTCTCGTGATAAATGAAATTTGACTCCTGTTGCTGATATTTGCTGCAACTTTCGTTCTGCTCACAATTTAGTAAGCAAACACGCTTCAAATGTGTTTTTTATTTTATTTTTGTGTATATATATGTGTGTGTATATATATATATATATATATATATATATATATATGCGTGGCAGGGGGGCTCGACAGCGCCCCCCTGGAACGGGGTCCGAAAACTTGGTCCATAAATCAAACACGCTTGCATGTAATAATATGAAACTCGGTACACATATAGATCTCATCGGTTCATATATACTTCATGCTCTTACTTTTTACCCCAGCCCAACAGGAAGTCGGCTATTTAGGGTTGTTTGTAAAACGCATGCAATGGAATTTAAAGTACTTCTCCTAGAGAATTCAAAGAAATGCCACGAAACTCGGTCAGCATGAAGTCAAGACATTGAGGATGAAAAATTGCCAGGGGATTCTTGATATCTCGAACGGTTTGGCCGTGGCGAGGAAACGAATTTATGGCGAGAAACGTGAAACAGGAAGTGTGTTATAACTTCTGCATACATTAACTGATCTTAATGAAACTTCAGCAGTGTGTTCGCTGTAATAGGCCGATCACATGGATGTGACTATTGTGAGTCAAAGTTATAGCGCCACCAACTGGCAGCAGGAAGTGTGTCACTTTCAAAATGCTTTGAAATCACCCTCTTATTTTAACCCGATTTGCTTCAAACTTCATCTGTATAATGTAAATACACGGCAGATGTAGACCTGTGAAAGGATTATTGATATCTTTGATACTGTTGCCGTGGCAACGCATCAACCTTTAAAATTCTTTTAGGATGCTTTTGAGACTCTTAGCATGCCTGAAATTGCATGAAACTCGACAGACAGATCACATTTATTAGCCAGTAGACATGTGCAAAGTTTCAGAAACGGGCGTGGTGCAGGGGCTCAGTAGCGCCACCTTTTGACAAAAGTGGGGGTGTTAGTTTATAGTTTTACCTACAATCATAAAACTCGGTACGCATATTGTTCAGATCAAGCCGGACAACTTTCTAATTAACTGTCATTAGCTCAGACCAAGAGGAAGTCAGATATTTTATTTTGAATGTGGATGTTTCTGAGAATTTTCTCTCCCTCTCTCTTCGTCTCTGTGTGTGAGGGATTTGTCTATTGCTTTTAATGGAGTTCAAGGTTTCAGGGGCTTTTGGGGCTCTTAACGTGCTCAAAAACTCTTGAAACTTTGCACACAGGTCAGAACCCACGGCCATCAGGGCCGGGCTGAAGCTGGTACCCGGGCGTGGCAGGGGGGCTCAACAGCGCCCCCTTGAACGGGGTCCAACAATTTGGTCCATATATCCAACACGCTTGCATGAATTAATATGAAACTCAGTACACATATAGATCTCATCGGGCCGAACATCTTTCACCCGGTCAAGTTTTAGGCCAGCCCAACAGGAAATCGGCTATTATGGGTTGTTTGGAAAACGCTTGCTGTGGAATTTGAAGTACTACTCCTAGGCAATTCATTCAATCATTGCCAAACTCGGTGTGCATGAAGTCAAGACATTGAGGATGCTAAATTGCGGACTGATTTTTGATATCTCGAACGGTTTGGCCGCGGAGAGGAAATTAATTTTCATGACTAAAAAAGGACATATAAAGTGTGTTATAACTTAGTTAGTTTAACCTACAGTTACAAAACTCAGCGTGTATATTCTTCTCCTCAAGCCGAACAACTTTCTAATTTAAAGTAATTAGCTCCGACCCTCAGAAAGTCAGATATTGTGGTTTGAATATGGTCATTTTCTCTCTCTCTCTCTCTCTCTCTCTCTGAGCCAATATGGCAAGCCGCTTTAACATTTAATCATTTTAACCTACTAGTCTCTATTTTCATGCTACTAGTACTTATTTTTTAGATACTAGTATCTATTCCATTAAGTACTAGTACTTATTCATTTGCGACTAGTGCTTATTCTTTAGTACTAGTGCCTATTCTTTAGATACTAGTGCTTATTCTTTAGATATTCTTTTGAATACGTATTAGTAGCTAATGAATAAGTACTGGTATCTATTTAATAGGTATCTAAAAGGTCATTTTCTCTTTCTCTCTCTCTGAGCCAATATGGCAAGCCGTTTTAACATTTAATCATTTTAACCTACACAGTAAAACTAACAGTGTTAAACAATCAGTGTTACACTACATTTACTCTTAAGGAGTTGATTTAACAACAAATAGTGAAAGATACCCCCTAGTGTTGGTGAAAATTATCAGAGTTAAATTGTCTCGGTAACTTTACTCTGTTAAGCTCCGCCCCTCAATCTCACCAGATCAGACTTGAATTTCCTCGTGGTCGTCGCCATTTTCTTCTACATCGCACCGAATGGTAAGCTCTTTTAAGTAACACGTTAAAACTATTTTATGTGAATAAATGTGTAATATTACTGTATATGTTGTAGTTTGATGAACTTTGTGTAATGTGATCCGTTCAAACTCCGAATGGAACAACTTCGCGGTGAGTTCATCTGATGGAGAAATATTTTTTCGTCACAATGTGTTAATAAATGTAGAATGATGTAAATTATCTTATATAATTTGTATTTCTGTTGGTTACAGTTGGTATTGTTATATACAGATTATTTGTATATTGTTATTTTTAAACGATGAATTATCTGCAATGTATTAGCCGCCCGTCGAAATGGCCATGTTTAAATTCAAAGAAGACCTAACGTTAGTTTAAAATACTGGTGACTATACAAACTGTTGCACCAGAATGTATTTACTTATTTATTTGTTATAGGCACAAAACGCGTTTCCACTGTCATTTGTGTAAAACTGTGTTTCTTATTACAGAGCATGTTGGTTAAGGTGAAACTTGGGGATGGCCAAAAATTTGTTAAAATATCCGAGCTGAGCCTGAAGGAATTTTTGTCTGCTGGTAAGAAAAATATATACTTTTATAGCGATAAATCGTTTAAATATCATGTTCTTGATTCAAATATGCGTTTTTTATGCTGCTGACTCTGAGCAGCTGTGTGAAACGCATTCAGTCTTTTCAAACACGCATCCATCGAATCCTTGTTTCTGTGTTGTAAATATTAAAATTAAAATTAATCACTGAAGTACTGGGATAAACGTTTAATGTCTTGATATAAACACTGGTATAAAAATCGAGCAAATCACCTTCTTTACACTTCAAATTAAGTTTGTACCAATTACATCGTTATGCCACAAGGTGGCACCAAGAGACTGGAAAAATGTATTTGTTCTTGAATCATTCATTCCAATGATTAATTCAAAAGGCTGATTCATCAGCAATGAAACATTTGATTTTATTAAATAATTCATTCTAATAAAGAAAAGATAGAAAATAAATATTTGCGTGCAGTAAAGTGGTTAGAAAAAATGGCCGATCACGTGAAAATTGGCCAATTCCAGTCACCGGCCGATCAATCGGTGCATCTCTAATTGGTTGGTATTTGGTAATTGTATTTTATAATACTGTCACATCTTACATTTGCTCTGATGTTCAGAGTTACCAACAAGTAACTGATCAACCTTGTAATGTATACCCTTTCTCATTAATTGGCATACATTTTATTTCCAGCTTTTTTAAAGTTTGGTGTCCCAACTGTACCCGAGAATGTGAAGGTTGTTGATGAATCGGGGACTGAGGTGGATGAGGATGTTTTTGAGGATATAGTTAAAGATCCCTCAGTTGGTGTTCTCACCATAAAACATGGTGCAGGTTTGTATATTTTTTTATTTACTTTCTATCAATTTTCTCAGTGCTTGCTTATTAGTATCATGAAGACTTTTACCACCCTATATTCAACTAGACTTGGAATCTGCCTCTCCACAAGCCTCTCCTGTGCAGTTAAATGTGTCCCTGTCTTCATCAATTGACTCCACTGACTCACAGGATACAGTAATTATTGAAGAAAGCTCTTCAAGTAAAAGAATGAGACTAGATGATGAAGCTAAAAAGGTGGGCATCGAAGTTGTAAAATTCATCAATCTGAAATAATAGCCTTTTTTTTATTATTATTACATATTTTGTTTCAGGTAATGTTTTGTACTTTAACATGCCATATTTATGCCTTTTTTATTAAGTTGGTGGAATCCATTCTTGTCCATAAACCTGGTGGGGAGCATATAATAAATGAATACAACCGATTTAAGACTTTGGGAGATGAAACGAGGAGGAAAATGGTGAACATCCTGGCAGCTGACATGACAGAAAAGAATGGGTAATCTGCATATCTTTAACTGGTGTATATAAGATCTCTCAATGTAGTTCCATAAAAGTTTTTTTAACCTGTGCTAAAGATAGGTGATTTTATTTATATATTTATTTATTATTATTATACAGTACATCACCACCAAGGCAGGTTAAAGAAAAATATGCCAGAGGAATTGTGTCTTTGTTCCCTTACCTCCGTGACCCCTTGTCCAAAAAAGGCTACGTAAGTATCACACCATTTTGTTATTTTTATTTTGTGTTCACATGTCTTAAATGCTGATGATCACACACAATACAGGTGATGTATTTTGCTCTTGAATTAAGACTTTTTTTCTCTTTATGTATTTTTGTCTTTCTAAGGAGCATTACTATGATGGTGAGAGTGGCACTGGGTACTTGGCATGGAGAATCAAAACTATACAAAGAGGCCTGGCTAAAGAACGAAGAGCATCATTTGATGGTACAGAATGAAATTCAGAAATCACCTTTTTTACTTTTTTTTCATAGCTCATTGTGCCATCTATCACAGTTTTGAAGTTTTGTTGCTATTGAGTTGCCTTAACTGACATTTTAATTTGTATAAAGATGAGCCTCTTTTACCTTTTTTTTATTTTTTAGTATGAACTCTATATAGTTATCATCTTTATGCAGTGTTGAAGGTTCTAAAATGCTTTATTCATCAGGACAAGGATTGTCTGTTGAGGGGATGTCTGGTGGACCAACTGTAAGACGGGAGTCAGAGTTTACTCCGGAGACTGTCTTGAGTGAGGATGAATGCAAGGAAGCAATTGCATTCATGAACCATTCTGCTGATGAGGACGCAGTCAAGAAGAAGATGAAATTGACATTTGACTATCGCCGCAACATGGTTCTGGACCCTATGCAGTCAAGTGATATTTTGACAGTCTTTCCACGTTTCAAAGACGTTAAAGGCTTGGTAAGTAAAGTCTTTATAATCCAAGATTTAAGGATTTTTAGAAATGCATGGCTGTTTTCTAAAAATTAGTATGTTCAGGGTTTACATCTAATAATGATTCCCCTTCTTAGATTGAGCAAGACTTTGTTCTGATGTTTGGAGAAGGAGTGTCAGGCAAGCTACTGGAGAAGTGGACGACTGCATTCAAGAAAAAAGTGATTCAGCAGTGCAAAAAGCTTCCAACCACCAGTGATGTTGGAGAACTCCTGCTAGCAGCTGAATCTCCATCTGATGACTCAGAAGAAGGTGTTAATTTTGGTAAGATATTTAAGATTAATTTAATACTTAGGTCATTTTAGTAATATTCATTTAAAACACTGCCTGGCCAAAAAAAGGTCGCTGTTGGGATTTAGATAGTCAAATGCTTAAGAGTATGATTGGATCATCATTGCAGTGATTATTTTTGTATCATGTTATATGTTTGGGGACAGTTATTTAAACCATAATTGATGGAGTGTGTAGCTTTTCATTCCTAAACAATTATGAAGGCACATCATGGCCATAATCCAGGATTGACAATGTGAAGATTCATCAGGCTCAAATTGTGAAAGAATAGTTTGGAAGTTAGATTAGAATAGTTAGCCATGATATGTCTTCCTACATGGTTGTTTAAGAAATGAAAAGCTACACACTCCAATTATGGTTTAAAAGAACTGTTCCCAAACACATAACATGATAGAAACATAATCACTGCAATGATGATCCAATCATAGACTTTTTAAATCCAAACAGCGACCTTTTTTTTTGGCCTGGCAGTACATTTTATTTATTTAGTTCCCATAAATGTTTTTAATATTTATTCTTTAGTGTCAATTTTCATTATTGATGAGGTTTTGCTAACATAATTAATTCTAAACAGTTTGGGACACTGACCTCTCTTTTATACTACTGCTGTTGCATCTGATCCCACCTTCTGCCCAAGGCCGAAAGAGACCAGGAAAGGTGTCTGCTTCTCAAGCAGAGAAACATCTTGTTGTCTTCAAGAAGGTTTGTTTTTTGTTGTTGTTGTTTTTTTTCATCATAGTTTCTTTTATTTAACACATCAGTGATGGTTCTCTTCAATTTGCTTGGTCTTCTCAGAGTGGAACAAACATTGAGGAGCATCTTCGAAACATCACTGCTAGTGCTCAGCCCTATCTCCTGGCTGTGGGACCTCAGAAGAAATCAGTTCACCAGTACTTCATCATCCTCGATCAGCATGCCATTCCATGCAATTCAACCTCTTCTCTTGGTGCCTTTGACGAACTGTTTAAGGCACACTTTGTTTTTGGTACCTCCTACAACACTATGCTACACAACATGTACACTTTCATTCAGACCACTGTGTACAACATAGATGTTGGGAAAGTGAAAGAGAGTCCTTGTGTTGCTGAGGTCAGAGCAAGGCTGCTTAGCTAGGTCCCTTACGTTTTTCCTGCCCCCATGAAGTGTTTTGTTTGTCAAGCTGATTCAAATGGTTCAAAAATGCTTCTTAGGCACCTCAGATTAGTTCATGGTTTTGTTCCTGGGAAGAATCTTCGCCTTAAATGCATAGAAGCAGGTTGTGGTTCTGTGTTCGGTACTTTTTCAGGTTTTAGGAAACATCTGCACACAAAACATGCTGAGCAAAGTGACGGTGAGCATAATTTTGACACCACTGATAGCCATGAGACTGCCAAGGCAGATGGACCAAGTAATTCTGAAGTATTTGATCAGATTGGCAGTGCCGGAGAGGTGGCTACAACATCTGTATTGTTAACGTCAAATAAGAGCACTTTCAATATGTGTGCGTCTGCTGTTGCACAACTAAAAGTTGCTGGATTAAGTCAATCTGCTATAAATGGTTTTGTTTCATCTATGGAGGAAATGGTTTCTGAGATTCATAGTCAGGCCCAGGATGCAGCCTTGCTCTGCCTGCCTTCACAGGACACTGCTACTAAAAGAAAGCTAGAACATTCATTTCAAAACTTGGAAAATCCATTTACTTTGCTAAATTCTGAAGCCAAGCGAAAGAGACTCTTTATGGAAAAGTGGGGAATTATTGAACCAAGCGAAATCGTGCTTGGCACAAGATTTGACAGCAGGAGAAATAAAACCACAGGAACATTTGATCAGGTTGTTGTAACTGATAAATTTGCTTATATTCCCATTTTCGAAACATTGAAGGCAATTTTACAAAATCCGCAACTTACTGATTTGTTTAAACCCAGGCATGTTCCAAAAGAAGGCATTTATGTTGACTTAAGTGATGCAGCATATTTTAAAAGTAATCCTTTATTTTATGCAGAAAAGGATGCCTTACAAATTCAGCTATTTTATGATGATTTTGAGACCGCTAATCCTTTGGGATCCAAAAGGGGCATACACAAATTAGGTGCTATCTATTTTACATTAAGAAATTTCCCCCCAGTTTTTAACTCCTCATTGGTGAATATTCATTTATGTGCCCTCTTTCATGCACACAGGATATTAGGCGCTATGGTTTTAATTCTATACTTGAGCCTCTAGTTAATGATTTGAAAGTACTTGAGATTGAGGGGGTTAAGAATCCAGTAACTGGAAGTTGTATCAGGGGTACTATTGTTCAAGTCACTGGAGATAATCTGGGCTTGCACGGCTTGTTTGGGTTTCTCGAGTCATTTGGGGCTCGATATTGCTGTCGTTTCTGTCTTCTTGAGAAAGATCGCTTTCAGTCTGTGTTCTGTGAAGATAATCCTGAGGTTGTACTAAGAACATCTGAGATGCATGCTCTGCACTGTGAAACTTTACAAACTAATTCTACACTACCCCATGTTTATGGTGTCAAACGGACATGTTTGTTAAATTCACTCAAGTATTTCAACACAGCCAACAATTTCGCAGTGGATATAATGCACGACATTCTAGAAGGAGTTGCTCAGCTAGAAGTAAAACTTGTTCTGCAGTACATTCAGTGTAATTTTCTGAGCGCTGATGATATTGCTGGTAGAGTACATGCTTTTGACTATGGTTACAATCAGCAGAGGAACCGTCCTCCAGTGGTCAAATTGTTTGATGGAAGCAACAATTTGGGTTTAAATGCAATACAATCTTGGTGCTTGTTGCGCAATATGCCCCTATTATTTGGTGATTTAGTCCAAAGAGATGATCAACACTGGCATCTTTTGCTTTTACTTTTGCAGATAGTCAACATTGTATTTTCACCAGTCCTAACAGAAGGCATGACCATTTATCTTAAATTTTTAATAATTGAACATCACCAGCTATTCAAAAAATTATTTCCTGAAAGAAATCTTTTGCCAAAGCATCATATAATGATACATTACCCACAGTGTATAAGAAAAATTGGACCAATTCTTCACACGTGGTGTATGCGTTATGAAGCTAAACACAAATTTTTTAAAACGCAATTAAAAAGTTTCAAAAACATCACCAAAACACTAGCCAAAAAGCACCAATTTTGTATTGCGACGTACTGGGAGTCTTTTAGCCAGTACAGATTGTCTCTTGGCCCAGGAAAAATGTTAGAACTCTCTGAACTTAAATGTGGCCAAGAGATCGCTTCCAAACTAGGAGTGGTAATGTCAGAAGCTGTCTATTCTGTAAAGTGGATCAAACACCACGGCACTGAGTATCGCCCGGACTTTATTATCTGTACAGAAGTAGCATGTGAGATGCCAGTGTTTTGTAAGATCAAGACCATTGCTGTGAAAGACGAAAATGTGTTGTTGTGTGGAACACTGATGGAAACTATATGTTTTGATGACCATTACCATGCATTTACAGTCAGACTGCATCCAGACAGAGTTTTTAAGGTAGTGAATGTTAATGAGCTGTGTTCTTTCAAACCATTTGATCTTCAGATGAAATATGGTACAACAGATTCTGCACTGCATGTAGTGCCGTATTGCCATTTAATGCAGATGTGATGTATTTTTGTTAATGTATGAGTGTTTCCTGAGCCTGAATGTTGTTTTAATAAATGTTTTAAATGTGACATTGTTGAAGTTGTTTTCTTTGTTTTTGAAAACTTGTTTTAAGAGTTAATTTGACATTGTAGAAGATTAATTGTTTTACTACTTACACCACAAAGAGAAATACTGACACTTACTCACCTGTTGCACCACAAATGGGTTTTAAGATTTTTACTCTGAGCGAGAATTTTTCACTATTAAAAATTTAGATAAACTCTACATTAGTGAAATATTAACACCAATAAGAGTTAATTTCCGATTTGTGTTAAACTGTGGTAACACCAAACAGAGTTAATTTCCCCCTAGTGTTAAACTGTGGTAACACCAAACAGAGTTAATTTCCCCCTAGTGTTAAACTGTGGTAACACTGTTCAGTGTAGAGCAGTGTTGAATTTTTACTCATAATAGAGTTAATTTTACTCTGAAAATTTAACACCATGACTAGAGTCAATTTATCACCAAATCTGAGTGGGACCAAATACACTCGGACCAAGTGTTAAATTTAACTCTTATAGAGCTAATTTAACACTGCAAAATTTACTGTGTACTAGTCTCTATTTTCATGCTACTAGTACTTATTTTTTAGATACTAATATCTATTCCATTAAGTACTAGTACTTATTCATTAGCGACTAGTGCTTATTCTGTTTAGAATATTCAAAGTGCTTATTCAATTTTTATGCTTATTTATATTTTCAGAGCAGAAAATCCGATTTTTCTGCTTATTCAATATTGCATCTAAAAATGTAAGTGACTTGACGTGTGTGTGTGTGTGTGTGTGTGTGTGTGTGTGAGAGAGAGATGTGTCTGTTACAGTGACAAGAGTTTAACCCTTTAAGGCCTTGTCTTTTTGGATATATATTTTTTTTATTTAAAAAAATGTGCATACAACCCATATATTTTAAATGTATTGTTTGCTTTAAATTAAATTAAGATTGTATGTTTGGTAATTGAACCTAAATAAATTTTAAATTAATGTGCTATATTTCAGATCAATATATTTGTTTTCCTTCATTTTAATCAACACTAACTTTATTCTCATCTGAATTATAAAGAATTTATTTCTGTATAAAATAAAAAATCCCGAATAATCCAGACCAACCAGAGCGCACTATTTCTACAACATCATCAGTGCTGAAGCGAAACTACCAGAGCCGTTCGGCAGATAGCAAGCAGATATTTTGTGTCACGTCGTGCACAATAACCCTAAAGGCACCAGGGTGGCGGTGCCACCGGCTTTATATATATATATATATATATATATATATATATATATATATATATATATATATATAAATATAGCTGCGAGCAGCGATGAAGGGCCCAAGCCGGCGGCACCGCCACCCTGGTGCCTTTAGGTAACTAAAGGCACCGGGGTTGCGGTGCCACCGGCTTGGGCCCGTAATCGCTGCTCGCAGCTATATTTATTATTATTATTATTATTATTTTACTACCTTTTGGGCACTTTTGGGGGCCTTAACGTGCTCGAAAACTCTTGAAACTTTGCACACATCTCAGAACCCGCGGCCATCAGGGCCGGGCTGAAGCTGGTACCCGGGCGTGGCAGGGGGGCTCGACAGCGCCCCCTGGAACGGGGTTTGAACACTTGGTCCATAAATCAAACACGCTTGCATGTAATAATATGAAACTCAGTACACATATAGATCTCATCGGTTCATATATACTTCATGCTCTTACTTTTTACCCCAGCCCAACAGGAAGTCGGCTATTAAGGGTTGTTTGGAAAACACATGCAATGGAATGTGAAATACTCCTCCTAGAGAATTCAAACACACGGCACGAAACTCGGTCAGCATGAAGTCAAGACACTGAGGATGAAAAATTGCCAGGGGATTTTTGATATCTCGAACGGTTTGGCCGTGGCGAGTAAACGAAATTATGGCGAGAAACGTGAAACAGGAAGTGTGTTATAACTACTGCATACATTAACTAATCTTGATGAAACTTCAGCAGTGTGTTCGTTGTAAGAGCCCGATCACATGGATGTGACTATTGTGAGTCAAAGTTATAGCGCCACCAACTGGCAGCAGGAAGTGTGTCACTTTCAAAATGCTTTTAAATCACCCTCTTATTTTTACCCGATTTGCTTCAAACTTCATGTGCATAATGTAGACACACGCCAGATGTAGACCTGTGAAAGGATTATTGATATCTTAGATACTGTTGCCATGGCAATGCATCAAACATTAATATTCCTTTTTTTAAGCTTTTTCATGCTTTTTTATGCTTTCGGGCACTTTTGGGGTTCTTAACGTGCTCGAAAACTCTTGAAACTTTGCACACGGGACAAAACCCGCGGCCATCAGGGCCAGGCTGAAGCTGGTACCCGGGCGTGGCAGGGGGGCTCGACAGCGCCCCCTTGAACGGGTCAGACAATTTGGTCCATATATCCAACACGCTTTACCCTATTTGCTTCAAACTTGATGTGTATAATGTAGACACAAGCCAGATGTAGACCTGTGAAAGGATTGTTGATATCTTAGATGCTGTTGCCATAAACTCGGTGTGCATGAAGTCAAGACATTGAGGATGAAAAATTGCCAGGGGATTTTTGATATCTCGAACGGTTTGGTCGTGGCGAGGAAACGAATTTATGGCGAATAATGGAAACAGGAAGTGTGTTATAACTTCAGCATACAGTAACTGATCTTGATGAAACTTTAGCAGTGTGTTCGCTGTAAGAGGCCGATCACATGGATGTGACTATTGAGAGTCAAAGTTATAGCGCCACCAACTGGCAGCAGGAAGTGTGTCACTTTCAAAATGCTTTGAAAGCACCCTCTTGTTTTTACTCGATTTGCTTCAAACTTCACTACTATAATGTAAACACACGTCAAATGTAGACCTGTGAATGGATTCTTGATGTCTTAGATACTGTTGTCATGGCAACGCATCAAACTTTAATATTCTTTTTGGATGCTTTTGAGACTCTTAGCATGCCTGAAATTGCTTAAAATTGCATGAAACTCGACAGACAGATCACATTTATTAGCCAGTAGACATGTGCAAAGTTTCAGAAACGGGCGTGGTGCAGGGGCTCAGTAGCGCCACCTTTTGACAAAAGTGGGGGGGGGGGGTTAGTTTTATAGTTTTACCTACAATCATAAAACTCGGTACGCATATTGTTCAGATCAAGCCGGACAACTTTCTAATTAACTGTCATTAGCTCAGACCAAGAGGAAGTTGAATATGGTGGTTTGAATATGGTCATTTTCTCTCTCTCTCTCTCTCTCTGAGCCAATATGGCAAGCCGTTTTAACATTTAATCATTTTAACCTTCTAGTCTCTATTTTCATGCTTCTAGTACTTATTTTTTAGAAACTAGTATCTATTCCATTAAGTACTAGTACTTATTCATTAGCGACTAGTGCTTATTCTTTAGTACTATTGCCTATTCTTTAGATACTAGTGCTTATTCTTTAGATATTCTTTTGAATGCTTATTAGTAGCTAATGAATAAGTACTGGTATCTATTTAATAGGTACTAGTATCTAATGACTTAGTACTAGTATTTATTGAATAAATACTAGTATCTATTAATAGGTACTAGTATCTAAAAGGTCATTTTCTCTCTCTCTCTCTCTGAGCCAATATGGCAAGCCGTTTTAACATTTAATCATTTTAACCTACTAGTCTCTATTTTCATGCTACTAGTACTTATTTTTTTAGATACTAGTATCTATTCCATTAAGTACTAGTACTTATTCATTAGCGACTAGTGCTTATTCTGTTTAGAATATTCAAAGTGCTTATTCAATTTTTATGCTTATTTATATTTTCAGAGCAGAAAATCCGATTTTTCTGCTTATTCAATATTGCATCTAAAATGTAAGTGACTTGACGTGTGTGTGTGTGTGTGTGTGTGTGTGTGTGTGTGTGTGTGTGTGTGTGTGTGTGTGTGTGTGTGTGTGTGTGTGTGTGTGTGTGAGAGAGAGAGAGAGAGAGAGAGATTGTGTCGGTTACAGTGACAAGAGTTTAACCCTTTAAGGCCTTGTCTTTTTGGATATATATCTTTTTTTTATAAAAAAAGTGCATACAACCAATATATTTTAAATGTATTGTTTGCTTTAAATTAAATTAAGATTGTATGTTTGGTAATTGAACCTAAATAAATTTAAAATTAGGAAGTCGGCTATTATGGGTTTAGGAAGGCCGATCAGATGGATGTAACTATTGTGAGTCAAAGTTATAGCGCCACCAACTGGCAGCAAGAAGTGTGTCACTTTCTAAATGCTTTTGACAAAAGTCGGGGGGGTTAGTTTTATCTACAGTAACAAAACTCGATATGTATATTGTACTCTTCGAGCCGGACAACTTTCTAATTTACCGTAATTAGCTCAGACCAAGAGGAAGTCAGATAATTTGGTTTGAATATGGTGAGCCTCTCTCTGTCTCTCTCTGAGCCAATATGGCAAGCCGTTTTAACATTTAATCATTTTAACCTACTAGTCTCTATTTTCATGCTACTAGTACTTATTTTTTAGATACTAGTATCTATTCCATTAAGTACTAGTACTTATTCATTAGCGACTAGTGCTTATTCTGTTTAGAATATTCAAAGTGCTTATTCAATTTTTATGCTTATTTATATTTTCAGAGCAGAAAATCCGATTTTTCTGCTTATTCAATATTGCATCTAAAATGTAAGTGACTTGACGTGTGTGTGTGTGTGTGTGTGAGTGTGTGAGAGAGAGAGAGATTCTGTCTGTTACAGTGACAAGAGTTTAACCCTTTAACCCTCTGGGGACCAGAAACGCGCCGGCGCGTTTTGCTCGTTTTTTTTCACATAGCAGAAAAATAGACTTAAAGTACTACCATCATTTCTGTTCATATAGAGTTAAGAAATATGAGAAAATAATCTGTTAAATGTCTACTTTTTTATGTGCCCACATACAATCGAAATAAAACATTGTGCTTTTGTTAAATAAAGAAAATAAACAGGGTGTGCGTTCTGCCTCTCGGTCACCGTGAACTTTTTTTCTGGAGCACGTCTCTAATCTTC